GAATGTTTGTATACTCCTCAAACTTGGGGGCTTAAATGCTAGACCCCCGAGGTGATGGCCCTTGGGGGTGATTCGGTCATGGCCTAATAATATAAAACAGTAATAAGAAGAAGACTAAAAGAGGAGATATAAATAAATACAAATAAGATAATAAATGCAATGGCCAACAACCCAGTCTGCGGTATTTTGCTATAATAATATGCGTGAACCAAAAAAAGTAAGAAACGGGCCTCTGCTGGGTTGACGCCTGTGACTTGGGGCTGTGTCTGACACACGAGCTACCGAAACCCTACATAACATATCAAACGACTTAAGGGAAGTAACCCACCTCCCACGTGACAAGATTGGTAGTGCTCGCTACCCCGAAGACTACCCATCAGCCCCTGATGGAAGTGATAGGGCCACTTGACAGCAGCCCTGCCAGCCACCAGCTGAGTCCAGTCAGAGTCAGTTTGCGGGAAGTGACCAAGCTGACTGACATTATGCAGAAAATGCTCTCTCCGTCTGTGACCTATCACAGAAATTTGCACGACTTGGGAGGGACACAGGATAACTGTGGTCCCAACGGCCACGTGGGGTGCATGGAAAATCTCTAGCTTCAGAGGTGAGAGGACGTGTTCCAGGAGTCGGATGCAGAGTACACAAAAGTAAAACAAGAACGTATTCAGGGAACATGCTTATAGTAGTTGGGACCTATGCTATTGTTGTATGTTGGGGTTCGGTGATGGACCAGGACTGGGGGATTCACTGGAGTAAGTAGACAGAGGTGCAGGAAAAAGATGAGACAGCTTTTGGAGGTTGGTGTGTGTGTGTGTGTGTGTGCGCGCGCGCGCGCATGTGTGTGTATGTGCGCGTGTGGTATGTGTTCTCTTTGTATGTGTGAGGTGCAGGTGTCTGGAGCAGGTGTACACATGTACACACATGTGGCTGCTTCACTTAACTGTGGCATTAGGTTTGCTTCTCTGAGCATGTGTAAATGGAAGGGAGCTGGTATGCGATATTGGCTGAGTGTTCAGAATCCCCCCCCACACACACACACACAACTTCATTCCTGTATGCTGTGAACCTGCTTCTTAGGAAGATAGTAAGAGCCCAGCTGAGGGTCCTTAAGAAGGGCTCTGTCCTGTATCCTCCGCCCTGGTGAGCTCAGAAAGATGAGGGAGATTCTCTCTCTCTCTCTCTCTCTCTCTCTCTCTCTCTCTCTCTAAACTCGGAGACCCCAGAGCAGGGGGGTTCTGCCACTGATTGAGAAAGGGGGCAGGAACTGCAGAAGGCTGTCAGGATTGTCACTGGGATGTCAGAGCCACTTGCTGTAATGGCTGGATGCTAGGGTGGAAGGTGAGGAGCCTGAACAGAGGGCCTCCTCTATTCCCTCTGAGTGGTCTGTGCTTGAATATCTGCTGAGTGGGTTGAATCGAGCTTCTGGGTAATGCTGGCTTTGTCAGAAGTGGGGCTGGAGGAGAGTTTTCCTAAAATGAGCCGATGTACCCCAAGGAGCAAGGGCGTATACTCTGCAGACCTTTCTTCGTTCCACTGCATAGAGCCTAGCTCTGCAGCCTCTTCCAGCCTCGCTCCCCAGCTCCTGGCTGACAGTGGACTCTCCTGTCAGGCTTTCTCCTTGCCTCCATCGGGATCACCTGACTTCTTGACTTCCGCAGTCCGCGTGACTGCCTTCTACCGCTGTTGCTTGCAGCCAGAGCCCTGGCATCCTGTCCGCACACCCTCTGCTATCTGACCTCATTTGCTCGGATTTTGGCCTCGCCTTGGAGCTGACAGCTGAAGGAACCCCATCCCACCCTGCGTTCTAAGATGGAATCTTTTCTGAGAGCGTCTCTGACGAAACAGAGCAGGAGCAAAGGGAAGAACAGACTGCTGGGGATTCTGTGAGGTCTTTTTCAGGCTTAGGCGCATGAACAGGACACCTGTCAGAGCTCCCCTCATCAGTATGTCCCTTGTTCTAGTCTCCCCACCGTGTGGGAGCTCTCATACCCACTTATGGTTCTTCTGGATAGTCCTGGGGCACCTTCTGGCTCTCACGGTGTACAGAAACACCTGCTCCTCTTAGTCGTCACCATTTTCTTTGTGTTTACTCGGGCTGGCCATGGTGACGCATTGCTGATATATCCAGAAAGGCCATCTACAGACCAGGTATCTTCCAGGGGAACTTTATACTGGAGGAGCCCATGTTCGGTGTGAATTTACCAAGGGATCACAAGGATTTGAACAATAACCAGGGTCAGGATATAGGTGTAGGACAGTCTCTTCTGGGATCAACAGTCACAGCTAACCCTACTGCCACCTTGAGTTTGTACTGCTGACCTCTAGAACTATAGGATGATAGAGCCCTGATGTCTTTAAGTCTCCAGGCTTGAGGTCGTCTGCTATGGTAGCCCCTGGAAACAGACTTCTGCTTGCTAGAAAAGCCAGACCTGTCACCCGCTGCCTGGCCTGTGTCCCCTGGGCGCCCACTAGAACTGCAGAGAAGAGCTTCTATTTGTATTGGCTCACTTATACTGTTGATTCAGGTACAAAACCATGAGGACTGGATCCAGGTGACATCCTGGCCTTGGGCATACGGACACTGTTGATACCGTCCCTCACAAATACTTTAGGCTGGATCTTTGATTCTCATCGGGATGACCACTTCAAGAGCACACCTTGAAGAAGCATCACAGGCAAGAACCAACAAGATCAGAAGCTGGGCATTTCCACCTAGGGTGGGATCCAGACTGGCCAACTGGTCTTCAGGTGGCCAGTGCTGGTTCGAATCTAGGAATCATTCCCAAACCTCCTTGGTTAAATACTTTAAAAGACTCGAGGCCTGTTGAACATAGAACCAGTGAGCTCTTCCATCCTAAATTCTGACCTGCAGCGTCCCCCAGCGTCATCCACAGGGACTTTGAGGGGAACCTTCAGCCAGCCCTTTACATGTGGTGCTCTTTGGGGTTCACCGGACAGAAGATTCCACTTGGCAAGCTTAGGACAGGCACAGGGCCTCGGCTGTGTAGACAACACTCCATAAGGAAATAATGATAGCAACCGTGATGATGTGAGATCGCGAAGGTTGTTTCTCTCAACTTTTTTTTTTTTTCTTGTTCTGAGTGCCCCACTTCAAAGAGAAAAGTTCCAACTCAATTTGAATCCTCCCATGTCCCGCTCACACCGGTTTTCGGGTAAAGTCTGCGGCTCGTCCATTTGTGGAGACCCTCCTTGTTTTGGAGCAGTTTTGCTGCTCGGCCGTTTCCCTCGGTCCCTCTCTTCATCCTCTCGAATCGAATCTCCATGAAGGGAAGTAATGAAAGGAGATACAATGTAAAACAAACAAAAAAAAAAAAAACTGGGGTGCTTCTGGTAAAATCATCTTGAATCTCTTGTTTGTCTTTTGAAAAATACTTCTGTTTTGTACAAATATGGTCTCTGGCCCCACTTTGTGAAGGTGGTGAGCCTAGGGATTGATTTTTAGGGCCTTGCGCAAACTAGAAAACTCTCCTAGTTATATCCTGAGCCTCTTCTGACTTTTCATGTAGAGACGGGGTCTCATTACATTGCCCAGGGCTGGTCTTGACCCCTCTCTATAGCCCAGTCAGGCCTTCAACCTTCAGTCCTCCTGCCTCAGACTCAGACTCTGAGTTTCTAGGCCTGCACCACCAGACCTGGCTGTTGCCCATCTCTTGGCTATGAAGAGCAAAGTGCAGTTTCAGGTCTGTAGAAATCTTTGCCTAGATTCCTAGCCCTGGTTCTTTATTCTGCCACTCAACAGTATGCCTCTAACCCTAACCCCCTGGCCATCCTGCTGCCCCTGCCCTCTGTCCAACCTGTGTGGTGGTTTTCATGAATGCCTTGTAAGCTGCTCTCTCCCACCTGGGTCGCCCTCAGTCAGTCTGGAGCTCGCCTTGCCTGTTGGCTGCCCAGGGCTAGCAGATGGCTCTAAGTGCCCAGTTTCCTTCCTCCACAGGTAGGTGACTTGGCACCAAGACGCCTTCCCTGCACTGAAGGCTGCTTTGTCCCTTTATCTTTAAGTATCTCCCTCCCAAAGGAACGGTAGCTGTCCCAGTGTCCTTGGTCAGTTTTCTCCCCCGGGGATTGAAGAATTCTTATGTAGATGAGCTACATTTGGCCTGTCTGGGTAGTGGACAGCGCTCCACTGAATAAGCAGGCCACCTACTCCAACTCTTAGGCTCAGAGACCTGTGATTTTTCTAGACCTGCTTGTTCTTCCCGGTCGTGGTCTGAAGCAGTTTCAGACTGACATAGTTACCTATATAGTAACCCATATGTCTAGCCAGCATGGTGTGTGTGTGTGTGTGTGTGTGTGTGTGTGTGTGTGTGTGTGAAGAACCAAGACAGACTTCCAATTGTCCTGCAAAAGCTTTCAAAGAAATAACAAATGGCTTTCTCTTTATAATATACCTCATCTTTTGCATGGCAAACAGGGCTTCTTTCCCATGTTGTCACATGGGCAGAGTTAGAATAGCAGGAAATGGGTCAGAGAGAGAACTCAGTAGGTAAGGCCCTTTCCACCAAGTCAGGCAAGCTGATTGTTGGGACCCACCTGGTAGAAGATGCCAACTCCCGTACGTTGTCCTTCGCTGTGGCACATGTGTGCCCAAACACACTATAAAAGAAGTATTTTGAAAAGAAATGTCGTACTTTAAAAAGCGATACTGAGAAAAGTCTGCCTCACATCCCCGTTCGTGGGAGGGTTCTGTTACCAAGTGGAGAGAGCTGGCGGGGTTAGAACGCAGAGCAGAAAGCTCCATTGAACCCAATCTCAGTTTCAAGCATTTTTATCAAAATGAGGAAGGGCAATGTACTGCTCTGAACGCCACAGCCTAACCGTGAACCATGGGAGCTGCCATGGCCGACAACGGAATCTGCTTAATATAAATAACCCATAGAAAATAAGTATAAGAGAAGTAGGAAAGACTGGTGTTTGTGTACATATGTAAATAGTATTTATAAGCAAATAACATTTAAGAATAATGTTATTAAACATTATAAATTTTTTCCAAATCCCTCCCTATTTTGCTGATAAGCCCTTGATTAAGAAAAGTTACAATATTATCTGACATCTTCAAAGTCAGAACACAGGAAAGTTCCCCAGACAGGGTTGTTCTCTGCAATGGAGTTTTCTTTGATTCTAGACGCCTGTCTGTTTTGTTTTTTTCTTGTCCCATTGGGGAGGATGGCAAGTGGGTCCCGGGATGTTTGGAGCCAGGGCAAGGGTGGGCACAGCAGGGACAGACATACTTACCACACCCCTGAATGGAAGAGGAAGGTAGAATCCAGGCCTCCAAGGCCCACTTGTAGGGAAACCAGAGCCTTCCAAGTTCAGCTCTCAGTCTGCTTATTCTATTGTGACCAATTGTAGGCTGGACAGTGACTTCTGTGACTTCAGCCCTATGTCACTGGAGTGTGGGATAAAAGCTTCAGGATTTCCCAAAGACCAGGGACTGTTACTACACTTTCGTTACTGAGAGCTGCGAATCGCCATCTGACTGTTGCTTCTGTAACAGGAATCAGATCCACACGATCCGAATGCAGCATCAACCCGAAGGACACACTTAGCACAGGATCCGACACAGGCGTGGACAGATTGGCATGGTTCTTTCTGGGCTTAAAGATCACACGCTAAGACCTATGTGAAGGACCCGAGAGAGACAGGAGGCTGCATGAATTCTGAGAAAGATGATAAAAGGAAACGGCCTTGTTCTTTTGGGGCGTGGGCGAACATGTGTTGATGTCTGAAACTGGGCTCCCAGAAAAAGCTAGGCTAGAGCAGGAACCTGAGAGTCGAGGCACTGGGATCCGAAGCCCCATAACTGCGAATTTCATTTTGTTTTTCCTTTCAGCTCAAGTCTCTGACGAGGACTCTTGCTACAAAAAAAAACCTATGCGCCCAGGGTATTATATAAGCCCTCGGCAGGAGGGGAGATAGTCGGGTCTGTGCGCTTCGACCGCCGCAGTCGCAGCAGCCACGGCGCAGCAGCAGCAGCAGCAGCAGCTGCAGCAGCAGCGAGAGCCGCTCAGGTTGATTTAGAACGCGGGTGACAGTGGCCTGGCGCGAGCCTTCAGCTGACGACAGCCGCTGATCCCGCTCGGTTTCCATGGAGACGGGCAGGAGCCGCGGCGGCGGCGGCGCGGCTGTCAGCGAGCGCGGCGGCGGCGGCGGCGGCGGCGCGCGCGCGGGGGTCTGCAGGAGGCAGGAGCAGGCCGGGGCCCTCGCCGCAGACATGGACTCGCATTGTGAGTGCGCCGCGGAGACGCCCGCCGCAGAGCCGCCGTCGGGGAAGATCAATAAGGCTGCGTTCAAGTTATTCAAGAAGAGGAAATCGGGGGGCACCATGCCCAGCATTTTTGGGGTCAAAAACAAAGGGGATGGGAAGAGCGCGGGGCCGACGGGGATGGTGAGAAGCAGGACCCACGACGGACTAGCGGAGGTACTGGTGCTGGAGGGCAGCAAGAAGGAGGAGCCGCCCGGCGGGGGCGATCACGGTGGGGCCCGGCCAAACCCCGGACCCCCCAAAGCCGCCGGGCCTGGCCTGGGCTCCCTGGCCAGCAGCTCGGTGGCCAAGTCCCACAGCTTCTTCTCCCTGCTGAAAAAGAACGGGCGATCGGAGACCGGCAAGGGAGACCCTGCCGAGGCGAGCAAGGCTGGCGGCAAACAAAAGAGGGGGCTGAAAGGGATTTTCAGCAGCATGCGCTGGCACCGGAGGGACAAGCGCGGCAAGGAGGAGGAGGAGAAGGCGGCGCGCGCGGCGGGCCCGGGCAGCCTAGTCCTGCCCGGCTCGCTCACCGCCAGCCTGGAGTGCGTCAAGGAGGAGCCGCCCCGAACCGCGCGCCGCCCGGACAGCCCGGGCCAGGACGCCCCGCGACAAGCAGCAGGTGAGCCCGAAGGGGGAGAGCAGGCGCCCGCGTCCGCCGAGCGCGCCCCGGAGCGGACCTGCCTCGAGGCCGCGAGCCCCGCCGGCCCTGGCGACCAAAGCGCCCGGGGAGAGGACGCCGAGGGGCATTGGCGCGCGGAGAAGCCCGGGGCAGCCCTCGAGTCGGGAGCTGGTGAGGTCCAGGCGGCCGAGGATGCGTCCAGGACAGGTGACGTTCCGATAAAGACCGTCCCCCTTGTCGACTCCGAAGGTGGCAGCGGCCGGGCGTCTGCCGTCCCTGACCCTTCCTCTGTTGATCCACCCTCAGACCCGTCGGCAGATCGTATTTGTTTGATGTTTTCTGACGTGACTTCACTGAAAAGCTTTGACTCTCTTACAGGCTGTGGAGATATTATTGCAGACCCAGAAGAAGAGGCAGGTCCCAGCTGTGACAAGCATGCCCCCGGGCCAAGCAAGCCAGTGCTCTCTAAAAAGAACCCCAGCGAGGTGGCCTACCAAGGAGGAGGGGAGGAGATGGCCAGCCCAGATGAGGTGGACGACACCTATCTCCCGGAATTCTGGGACATGTTGTCCCAGACCGAGGACCAAGGACAAGGGCCCCAAGAGGGCGCAGCGAAGGCGGCCACTGCTTCAGACACCAAGCTGGCCCCTGAGACCTCCAATGATGTTCGGTGCGGGGAAGTAGCCAAGGACGTGTCCTCTGTCAAACGCAGGAGGCTCCACAAGATCCCCATTGATCCTCAGCAGAAGGAGGAGCCCAAGCACCCGGAGAAGGAGCATCAAGAAGGCGTCCCTAACAGCGATGAGGGCTACTGGGACTCCACCACTCCTGGTCCAGAAGAAGATAGCGCCAGCAGCAGTAAGAAGGCCGTCATTCCCAGGGATAGCGACAGTGGCAATGCTCTCTATGATCTCTACACTGAACCCGAAGGAAGCTTAGCTGCTGTTCCTGCCACGGAGGACCCACCCTGCTTGTCCCGGCTAAAGCCGGTGTCTCCAGGCACCATCACCTGTCCACTGAGAACACCAGGCAGCTTGCTGAAGGACTCTAAAATCCCTATTAGCATCAAACATCTCTCCAACCTTCCGTCCAGCCATCCTGTGGTGCACCAGCAACCAGCCAGGAGTGAGATGCCCAGAACAAAAATCCCCGTTTCCAAAGTGCTGGTCCGCAGGGTCAGCAACCGGGGTTTGGCTGGGACCACCATCAGGGCAGCAGCATGCCATGACAGTGCTAAAAAGTTGTGAGGTCTCCAAGGCCAAGGAGGATGGATGGGCCACGTGTTAAGGAATACAGCACTCCCTCGGAAACCACTGAAGGAAGCTCGCTTTGCCCAAAGCAAACAATTTAGGACCCACCCTTCTCCACGTGGCCTAGCAGTCTTTGTTGGAAACAGGGGTAGGACACCCTGGGAAGGGAATGTTACACCTGGAGTTCAGATAAGTTCCTGAGGATTCTTTTCTAGCACTTTCCTTTCTCTTTTAAACTTAAAAAAAAAAATGTTTTTTTCTTCTTTTCTTTTTAACTCGTGGATCACTCAGAAGTGCAGAAAATAAGTTTTAACCAAATCTAGTGAAAATATCACACCAGGATATCAGGTTTTTCTAGAGTCAAGAGGGCCTTGAGGAATCACTAAACAACAGAATTTAACCAAATCTAGTGAAAATATCACACCAGGATATCAGGTTTTTCTAGAGTCAAGAGGGCCTTGAGGAATCACTAAACAACAGAATTTAACCAAATCTAGTGAAAATATCACACCAGGATATCAGGTTGTTCTAGAGTCAAGAGGGCCTTGAGGAATCACTAAACAACAGAATTTAACCAAATCTAGTGAAAATATCACACCAGGATATCAGGTTGTTCTAGAGTCAAGAGGGCCTTGAGGAATCACTTAACAACAGGATTCTTGCCTCTCTTTCCAGGAAAAAAGGAAAGAAAGAAAGAGAAAGAAAGAAAGAAAGAAAGAAAGAAAGAAAGAAAGAAAGAAAGGAGAAAGAAAGAAAAAAAAAACCCTTTGCTTATCACTGTGTGGGAAACACCTGCAAAGCTCAAAGATCCCTGTAGTTATGGGATGGAAAGAGGGGCATGCTGGCTGCAGAGAACCTCACAACGTCCAGTTGCCAGATACACAAATAGGTAAAGATCTGTCTCTACGAAAGCAGAAAGATTCTAGTTTGGCTGGTTCAGATCACTTGTCTGAGGAGAAATAAAAGGCTAATGATTAGTTTATGTGTTTTTTTTTTGTTTGTTTGTTTGCTTGTTTTTGATTTTTGGATTTACTCCTTCCTCTTGGTGCAAAAATGAGGATCAGGGAATGATCTCACTAAATGCTAAATACCCAGTATTTTGTCGTGTGTGAACTTCAACCTTCTTACGTGTAGGTAATGCCTATTTTAACAGTTTGCCTCACGGTTAACATTTTACAGCTCGTCAATAATGTAGAATTTAGAGTCTGGTCTTATAGCTGGGATACGATGACAAACCATTGTGATTCTTTATGCACTGTAGCCTGGGGCAGGGATACTTCTGATTTAGGAGGGTTATTTGCATATATATCTATATAGATATGCTATATATATACATATATATACATGTATGTATGTATGTATGTTACTGATGCCCTTGAACAATGCATTGCCTGGCCTTGGTTAACAGTCCATTTCTCAGCCCAAACCAGAGATTTTTTTTACCTTACTTATAAAATGTTGAATCCAACCATTTCCCCAAGGTTAGGAAGTGCGCAATGAACATATGAAGAAGTAATAGAAAATACAAGTTTGAAACTATTCATTTGGCTTCTGCTGTCTAAACCTGTGCCTGAGACAGCTGTGTGCTTCCTGTGACACTGCCCGGCCTAAGTAATTCTACTAAATTATTTTTGAGAAGTGGTTTGGTTCAACACGTGCTTTCTAATATTTAGGCTGAAACGCCAAAGCCTTGGCAGTTTGAACAATATAGTGAAGGGGTTCCTCGAATGCTCTTAGTGTCTGCTGATTAAACTGATGTCCTCTGGGGATGCGTTTGACTCAAAGGGCTGGAGCTTCTCCCAGAGGTGCTGCGGTCCATCAGGAAGATGGCACACAGCCCAGTGACCCTACATGTGTGGGGCAGAGATGAGCACACTGTAACTCGAGTTCCAGAGAGATGCCTGAGGAAAGGTCTGCTATTTTGTGTTTTAAGATTTTAGTTCTATTTTGTAAAAGAAGAAAAGAAGCTAAATATATGAAAACTTATTTTAATAGTATGAAGGAAACAAAAGTAAGTGGACGTCAAAGAAGACTTGGTAAGGCATAATGGAACCTGTTCCCGTTTTCAGTTTGTGGCGACTCCCTTAGAAGAGGGGGCAGAGGTCTGCTGCACCCCTGAGTTAGATTACTGACTTTTACTGTGTTGTCTCAGGTCCTTGATGCTGTCGCCAAGCAATGCGTTAAGTTTTAATGTCCCTGTGTCTAGAGGTGAGACCCTCCATGTGTGCCTCACTCTCAGCGTTGGCCTCATTCTCAGAAACCATACAAGCATCTCAGACATGCTCAGGAATCCATCAGGATAAAAACTACCACACAGAAGACATCTCAGAATAGTTGGGGATTTGGCAATATTTTGAAAGTCACCTTGCCCTTGAGAAAAAAAAAACTTTAAATTTGATTAGTATTGATAGAAATGTATAGCCTCCAAAATACGTTTGTTTCCCCCTAGAACCAGAGAGGATATAAATTATACTTCAAGCGGGAAAACAAAGGAACTTTCTCCTTGTGCTTTTCCCTACAAAGATTAAGTTCACCTTTGCACTCTCCATGGCTGGGTTTTGTTTGCGCTTGTTCAGCTGTGCAGGAAAGGTAGCGTAAGAATGGGCTCAGCGGTTGTCAGAGGAATGGCAGGTGGTTGCTGAGGCCCTGGAAGCCACTCCTTCAAGCGTTCCCAGCTTGGGGGTTTATCTGCAATCACCCTCTATGGCATCCTGGCTTTAGAAGTGAAGGAAAAGTTTAGCAATATTTACCTTAATTTTCCCTGGCAATTGACCAGTTACAAAAGACTTAAAAGGCTTTATTTATAAAATTCTTTTCGCCACACTTCCCCCGGCTCCTGATTTTTCCCCGTTATCCTGCACATTTAAGACCAACACTCTGCCAGTCCAGTAAAGGACTTGATGGTGAACTAAATGTCCTTAGTCGTTAGCAGGTAGCACAGTGGTCAGCTTTCTCCAAACGCAGAGTAGGGGTCAGAGTTGCTTTCTTGGGCCAAGGGTTACTTTGTCTTATCTGTGTATGAAAGAAATTTCTAGATTTACATGCGACTGTTTGTAAATGTGTTATCTAATAGTCTTCTGAGAATTTGACAGATTTCTTTGCTTACTTTTTTAGAGAAATGTCAGACATGAGCACATGGGGATTTCTTGGTATGTACAGTTCTAAGGTCCATTGGGTTGGCACTCTTTGGCTAAAGAACTGTCCCAAATCAGCCAAATCAATTGTGGGGCAAGACTTTGTCTGTTTAATGGCTCTGCACAAGTATCTTTAATATCTACAACACACACACACACACACACAACTTAAAGCCAATTTAGTCCTGCCATGGCTCTGCTGGCAGCAGAGGCTCTTATTCTCCTCATCACGGAGTGGGAGACATTTCATTTACCACAGCATCTCCAATAATCACTAGAGGAAAGGAATTTTTATGACTTCACGTACCAACAATGCAAGGCAGACCATCAGGACTCCCTTGAGATGCATTTTTGCACAAAACTTACCTGCCTTCTGCCGTGCAAATTCAGTGTTTCATCCGTGCAGCCGATGCCTTGCCCAGCTTAGAGGGCTTGCTCTCTCGTCTCAGTTCTTCACTTATTGAAATTAATATACAAAGAGCCCTTTGATGACTCAGTTGTCGAAGTCAAAGAATCTATCAGGGTTAAGATTTCTTTGGCCAAACTTTCTAAGACTTTCCCTTTTCCCCTCTCTGATCTCTCTGGGGAGGTCTTTATTGAGAACATTACCTAAAGAGTTTGACTCAAGTGGCTTTATTTCTCCTGTTTTCATCATAGCTATCTGCCACCCTGGGGTAGTGACAATATCACACTCCCCATGTTTTTGGCCTTGTGGACCATGTTAGTATGTTTGGGATCATGAGACTATAACATGTTGTTGGCCTTCTGGATCATGTTAGCATGTTTGGGATCATGAGACTATAACATGTTGTTGGCCTTCTGGATCATGTTAGCATGTTTGGGATCGTGAGACTATAACATGTTGTTGGCCTTCTGGGCCAAGTTAGCATGTTTGGGATCATGAGACTATCACATGTTGTTGACCTTCTGAACCATGTTAGCATGTTTTGCTCCCTGCTTTTTCAGTCATTGTCAATGTCTTCTTTTCACTGGGAGTGTGAGGACTGGGCTCTCTGTGATTGGTCCCTACTGAGACAGAGTAATCTACACTCTGCTTCCCTCATGAGTGTCAAAAAAAATTAACACAAGAATTTTCCTGTTGCCTCTCCTTGTCACCAGGATGGCCAGTGAGAAGGCTCTGCATAAGAGAATCCAAACACCTCAGCTAACCTTGTTCCTACCCTTTCTGGGCCCACTAAGAAAGGTCTCAATTATCTGTATAAATTCAACCTTAGACATTTTGATTCACTATACAAAAACACTGACAAACCAGCGAGGGACAAACAGGGTCTTAGCAAAGTGTCCCTTAGTTGCTGTGTGGCATAAGGGGGCCTGCTCAGGAGGACCTCAGGGTGCTTAGTGTGTCCTCAGAGTGGTCGTTGATTGTGTCACTTGGGTCTTTGCTCTCAAGACTTTCAGTGGCTGTCAGTTCTAGAGCGCTTCTCTGGCCCTTCTATTCTGGTGATGGTTCAAGAGAAACAGTTTGCTGCAACAAAAGTCACTTATAAAAGAAGCGATTGCTCTGCCTGCAGAGATGAAGCCTTAGAGAGGTGGTTTGGAATTGAATTAGGGAGAGGAGTTCTTTCCTGAATGGAAACAGGGAAGGTTAAAGCATCACAAAGTCTCCAGCTGACAGACAGCAGCTTTTATGATATTGACTTGAATACAATCCAAAGCATATTTCCAGGATAGTCACCATGTTTAACAATTTAAAAAACCCAGTACAGTTGGGGACTTACATGGCTGTGCTGTTATTGGATTTTCTTCCATATTCTTTAAAACACTTTCATTTGACCCATCTCATCTTTGCATGTTTTGCATTTGTACTTATTGCTTATAGTTTGTATGTTGGAGCAGAATGGTGGTAAATCAAGTCATACGAAAGCTTCTAGTGGCCCAGCCCTTGCCTCTGTGTGCCAGTGCTCCTGGGAGCACTGAGTAACTCCACTTCTTAACAGCTGTATGAAGTGACATTGTCTCCCTGATGGGACTTTGATTCAGACATGCTGACCCTTTTATTGCCCCCACCCCCTCTCTCTCTCTTCTCCTCTTTCCCTAGTCTCTGAGGCAGGGCTGTAACTGTTTAGTGTCCTATGTAGTAACACAGGAGCTAAGAGCTTCTGACGTTACTGACCTCACTCCACTTCTAACAGGAAAAGCTAGCTCACATCCAAGCTCATAAAATTAGCTTTGTGTCTAAGACATTGGTGCTTGGGTCACATACAGGGGAGCCTGTAGCTCCTTGTTCCTCTGCGCTCCAAAAACAAACAACTGGCTTCCTTCTCTTTGGAGCACCCTCTCCTTCCAGGGATTAGCATGGAAAGTACAGACACAAGTCTCTTCTGTTGTCATGGCAACACCTCTTCCCCGATAAGATTTTGGCCATTCCAGGCACGCCTCACTTGCTTTCCTACCTTAAGCCTAAAGTAGCTTTGCCTTGAGTAATCTGTGTTCCTTTCATTGTAGTAAGAACATTCAGCATGAAGCCTGCCTTCTTCAGTTTTTACGTGTACAATCCAGTACACGTGACTACAGACACACCCCTTAGAGCAGGCCTCTAGAGTTTCCACATGCAGGAGTAAGGAACATTTTCTTGCTCACTGATCAGCCATGCCCCCTCCTCCAACCCTGCTAACCACCATTCTGCTCTCTGATTCTAGGAACTGGACTGTTTTCAATACCTCAGATCAGTAGGATCTGGTAGATTTGATGCTTGTGTGACTCACAGCTTCACTGAATGTAACATCTCCCAGACATCATGCCCACCTTGTCTTATGTTCAGGGCTTCTCCCTTTCTGGATGCTGATCCCATTGTGCTGCCTGGATACTGTCTTTTATTTTTCCAGTCACCTGTCAATGGACATGATACTATGTCTTGGCGACTGTGGATAATGTCCCGCTGTACATGAGAGTGGAAATAGGTTTTCAAGATCTTCACCTCAAGCCTTTCAGATAAATACCCCAAAGTGGAATTGATGGACCACACAGTAATTTTAATTTTAAGCCTCTGAGGACTTCCCTCATGGTGTGTTTCCCTCGGCAGACGCAGCATTTTACACCTCTAACGTCAGCACACAAGGGCCCAGCTTCTCCACCATCAACTGCCTGTCTGTTGTCTTCTTAAATGGGAAGCAGCTGAATGCCCCTTTGCCCCGGTTCAATTCTGTATTCTAGATGCAAGCACCTGCCATCACAAGCCATCTGTTCTGTTTCCCCAGTGGCCCTGGAATCCTGATCTACCTTTCCAGGCTCATTAATTCGCTCAACTGGTACTTACTGAGCACATCCGATCATTTTGTGGCTAATTCTATGATCGTCCATAGGCTGGGCTTCCTGTAGTGTTAGAAAGGAAACTCTCTACTTTGTTTTACACCCTTGTCTCGATAGCTCACAAGAACTATGTAAGACTTGTTTGGGTTCCATTTTCCAGATGAAGAAACTGATTCTTGAGGAGGTTGAGGATCACTGAGGCCTGAGTCACACATGGAGTAACGGGTAGCCTTTGAACCTGACCCCACAGCTCTGGCTTTAATTCGAGATCTTTGTTCGGCCGTCACACCCCTTTAGAATTACTCATTTTAAGGTAGAAACTGATTGATGTTCTCAACTATAAGATTCAAACTCCATTTTTATGATGGTGGAAGTCATTTAGATGATTCTTTCATGTAAAACCGGACTTGGTTTTTTAAATAGCCATTGATGGCCTTCATAAAAATCTATGTTAGTGTCCAAAAGGTTGATTCAGGGACGAGCAAATGTTTTCCTATCAAGGTCAGTTAAAACTGGGGGTCATAGCCCCCAGTTATTTAGATTGTACTTATGGGCTGTATAATCTTATCTCTGTTTTGCCAATAATATAGGCAGAAAAGCAATTTCAGTGGGGAATCCATAAGCCTTGTTTTCTTTCTCTCTGATCCCAGGGGGGGGGGGGGATGCCTTTCTCAGTGTTTTGGGGAAATCAGTTTGAAATTGCATCAATATCACAACTAAAAAGATTATTTTACTCGTATATATGCTACCTGCCTTTGGTCAGTGTAACGGGACACAGTGGGAAATCGATGCCGGTCCTTCTGACCCTGTTGAACTGTAAGCTAGGAGGAGTCAGGAGTTGTATGTAATAATTAACTTTCTGCTGGATATGAGAACACACATTTCGGATGCAGTTGTGGTGCCTGGGTCTTTGAGATGCATCCAACCTTCTCAGAGATCTTCATATCTGGATCATTTAATAAACTAAAGTAGAAATACTAGAAAACATGTGGCCCCAAAGCACAGGGGCACAGAGGGCAAATGCAGCACCGTCACTGTGTACGGCGTGTACAACGCTGGTATCTGTGACGCGGCCTCAGAAGCCAGGTGGAATTAACGAGAGCTCTTAACTGCCTAGTAAAGAACTGCTGACCGTTTTCACTGCTTCCAGAATAAATTTAGCGGAGCTCATCTGATGGATAGCTAGTGGTGGATTCCGGCAGAATGTCGGAGAGAATGGCTCTGACGTAGCAAGCCCTGTGGTTGTCATTGGTCATCAGCGGCCCAGCATGCCCCTGATGAGCTTCAGATTGTCTGATCCCCAGGCAGCATCTCAGTGTGATGTAAGGAAGTGCAGGTGTTGGGCAACAGTGACTAAGGAAATCCAAGCAGAAACTCCCGGCAGGACAGCCTTCCTCATGGAAGGGCCTTCCTGAGGACAGGGCTTGACTGCATCACTTTTGTGCACAGGAGGAAAATGGCTAGGAATTGGTAGGCTTATATATATTATTTTTATAATAGAATGTTAATCCTCTGAAAAGCATCAAAAAAGTTAGTCTCCTAGAAAGAAATCTATGCTTTCTAAACCTACTTCAAAGAAGGGTTCTAAACACCGATAGGGTCCTTTATCCTTCGCTACTCCAGTGGTCTAATGGGATAGATGAATCGATGTTTATATTTTTAAACCTGTAAATATTTTTATTTTGAATATTTTGTATATTTGTTGATATACTTCCATTTTGTGCATATGTACTATTGTGCATGTTGCTGGTTTTGATAGCCACTCTTTTAACAAATGTAAACAGGTCGGACTAACGCACTCTCCGCTTCCATTCACCTTACACCGAAAAGACAACGTTGTCACGTTAACTGTTGTGTTTAAATCCCGTCAATAAATTCTGTTGCTCCTTTGCAGTTAAAGCAAAATCTGTTGGCTGTTATTTTTCCAGGATCATTTTCTTTCTTTCCCCTAGACTTTTAAATTTTTAGGACGTGCATTAGTGACACTGAGGAATGTGTGTGTGCGTTTACGTGAGGGCACGTGAGCGATCACACATATGTGTGATCTGTGTATGTGTGTGCACATCTATAATGTACCTCTGTGTGTGTCATATGCCTGTGGTGTGTGTGGTGATGTGTGATTTGCGGTGAAATGTATGGTTTGTGTGTGTGTGTGTGTGTGTGTGTGTGTAATGTATGTTTTGTATGTGTGACTGAAGTGTAAAGACCAATAGGAGACCCACGTTTCTTCCCACACTTTGTAAACAACTGAAGAGTGTTTGCTTTAGGCAGCTGCCTTTTGAAAGTGTGCTTGTTATCTGGCCCTGGCTCCCGAGCCCTTTGCTGGGGAACTCTCCCTGCCTGTAATCCCCTGTGAGACCAGCTAATCTGTGCGACTCTTAGGTAACAGTCAAATTAAGGTCACAGGTGTCTTTCCGGAGCTGTTTTCTGTGTACGTGGTGTTTGGTGGCAGATTTCCAGTTCCTGTGTATTACACGTTCAAATTCACAGAAGCTGAGTGAAGGAAAATGAAGTTGTAGTGTTTCGTGTTTGGAAAATGAAAATGGAAGCCCATGAATGTTGTTTTGAAGTATATCTCCTTTAAAAAAAAAAAAAAAGGCTTGTTTGGACCAGGGAGTCTTATAATTTTCTTAAAGGACAAGAAAAGTTCATGCTTATCTGCAGAACGTGATGCAGAAGTAATCTGCACGGCGAACCTGATTGCTCGCAGGGCAGATACCGCGGAAGAGCAATAACGGTGGACAGCAGGTTTACGAGCATCCCAGGCCTTCCTTCAGCCCCTCCCTTTCCTCTCAGCCCATTGTCTTCCTTCTCGGCTTTTTTTTCTAATTTGGAAGGCACGCCCCTTCGTCCCTTCGTCCCTTCATCCCTTCGTCCTTTCGTCCCTTCGTCCCTTCGCCCCTTTGCCCCTTCCCCCTTCGTCCCTTCGTCCCTTCGCCCCTTCGTCCCTTCGTCCCTTCGTCCCTTCGTCCCTTCGCCCCTTCGCCCCTTCGTCCCTTCGCCCCTTCGTCCCAAGGCAGCGAGGAATCTAAAGCTAAGGTTGGACTTGCAAGTGCTGAAACCAGCAGTGAAATGGGCGATACAAATCTCTCCAGCCCGTGTCTGTTGTTGTAACAAGATGTCTAGAGCTGGGCAGTTTATAGAGAAGTTCACTTAGCTCGCATGTCTAGGGATCTATGAGCATGGCCAACATCTACTCTGTGAGAGCTTCCTGGTGAACAGCCTCCCAGGCCAGCAGTGTGAGAGCTTCCTGGTGAACAGCTTCCCGTGACAGTAGTGTGTGCAGGAGTGTTGCTCAGTGTAGCAGTCTTTCTTGGACTGCCAACCAGCTCCCAAACCAAGACCCGGATATTTAGTACAATTATGAATGTTCGGCCGTATCTGATGCTTGTCCCACTAGCTCTTAAAACTTATTTTAACCTGTTTCTCTTCATCTACATTTTGCCTCGGGGCTTTTTACCTGTCTTTCACTCTGTATGCCCTACTTTTCCTGCTTCTTCAGTGTCTGACTGGCTGGCCCTGGATCTCTCTCTCTCTCTCTCTCTCTCTCTCTCTCTCTCTCTCTCTCTCTCTCCCTCTCTCTCTCTCTTCTCCTCTCTGGAGCCTAGATTCCTCCTCCTTCTTATTCTCTCTGCCTGCCAGTCCTATCTATTCTCCTGCCTACCTATTGGATGTTCAGGTTTTTCTTAGACCAATCAGGTGCCTTAGCAGACAAAGTGAAACAGCAACGCATCTTGACGTGATTAAACAATGCAGCGTAAACAAACACAGCACACCTGTACATAGTTAAAGTAATATTTCACAACAGTTTGGAGCAGGCAGGAGACAGATTCAGGCTGGGCCCATTAACTCACACCTGTCACCCCAGCACTCAGGGTACCAAGGCAGGAGAATTACCAGAGTTCAAGGCCAGCCTGGCAGACCAGCTAGAGAAAGAAGGACAGCATAAACTCATAGGCATATGAGAAATGCCAGGGCGGGACTGGTGAGATGGTTCAGTGGTTCGATGCTCGTAATGCTGTTTCAGGGGACCTGGGTTCAGATCCCAGCTTCCACACCAGGCAGGGTACAACTGCCTGTAACTCAAGCTCTGGGAGAAGCCAATATTCTCTTCAGAACCCACATGCACGTACAGTAATGCATACATTCAAGCAGTGCAGTAATGCATACATTCAAGCACGTGCAGTAATGCATACATTCAAGCAGTGCAGTAATGCATACATTCAAGCACGTGCAGTGATGCATACATTCAAGCACGTGCAGTAGTGCATACGTTCAACCACACACACAGACAGAAAGTGAATAAAAGTTTTAGGGCCGAGCTATTTATAACAACAGAAAATAATAAAACAAAAACAGATACTTTAGTCAAAATGACAAAAACTAGTTGTTTCATAAAACACCTAACAACGTTGATCAAGAAAAGAGCAGCTGGAGACGTCTCACGGTTAAGAGCACTGACATCTAAAGGACCTAAATTCGGTTCCCAGCACTCACGCGGCAGCTCACTGCCATCTGTAACTCCAGTTCCAGAGAATCTGACACCGTCTTCTGGCTCTGAAGCCACAGGCAGGCTCATGGTGCCCAGATATACATGCAGGCAAAATGCCCATAAAATAAAAATAAATCAGTCTTTGAAAAGAAATTTTGCCACAAATTATTTTTAATCGAAACAATTTTGTCATATAATGTATTCTGATCACTCTTTGCCCTCCCCAACTCCTCCCAGGCCCTCTACACCCTTTCTCTCTCTCTCTTTAGAAAACAAACAGGCAAACAAAAGAAATAAAAAGCAGAAAAACATAAAAAGGGACAAAGAAACACACAACACAAAACAAAATCTGTAAAAAAAAAAAAAAGAAATACCAATAGAATCTGAAACCATAATATACAAGCAAAGGCCAGTAAAACAAAACAAAACAAAACAAAAAAAATGACCAAACAAATCATATAAGAGAAAAACTCTACAAAAGCACCGTTGAGGGTTTTTTGTGCTGGTCATTTCCTGCAGGGCATGGGACCCCCTCTTCGTGTGGTCGATATACCCAGTGAGATGCCGTTGGAGAAAACCAGTTTTCCCTTTGCAAATGGCTATCAATTAGAGACAGCTCCGGGTTAGGGGTGGGGCCATGCGTCCCCTTCACTCTCAGCTGAGACCCCATCTGGTGCGGACCCTTGCAGGCCCTGTGCATGCTGTCACAGTCTCTGTGAGTTCATATGTGGATCAGTCTTGGGAAAAAAAAAACATTTTTTTTTAAAGAAAGAAAAAGGAAAGATACAGAGTTCAGAATGAGATGGCTGTGGGGAGCTAAAGACTAATGGAGGTTGGTCAGAGTTATACAAATAGATTTTAAAATAAGATTAGATAAAAAATTCCCAAATGCATGCACTTGCACACACGCACATACAAAGCCGGACATGCTGGTACATGTCCATCATCCCAGTGCTGCTATGGCGAAACGGGAGGTAGAGACTGGGGATGCCTGGAGGCCAGAGGGCCACGGTACCTGTGACACAAACCAGTAAACAACAAGAGGCTCACTGTGGAAAGGAAGGGCTGACACCCAAAGTGTGTCTGAACTCTATATGCGCTCTGTGGCAGGTGCACGCACCTGTACCCACACACCTGAACATGAATGTATGCATGATGGTCTGTGCACACGCGCGCACGCACGCAGACACACACACACACACACACAAACAAGAAGATTTAAAAAGAAAAGAAAAAAATGGAACTGAATTGTCTGTAAAGCTAACACTGCATCATAACCAGGTTGGCCTAACTCCAGGAATGGAAAGATGACTTTCCATTTTAAAACCCTATTGGAATTCACCTTAAGGAGCTCCACCAGCTGCCTTGTTCTTCCCGTGTTCTGACAGGCACGCCCTCTCAGGACAGTGAGCCGCTTTAAACGTTAAATGCTTTGTCTCATAGCATTTTTAAGCAGCAGTTGCTTCAATTTCATCTAAATCTAAAAGGCTACACTATTGTTTAGCGTAAGGAAAGGAAAATACTGTAACTACAACGGTAAGATTCCATTGGCTGAAAGAGTCACACAATTCTGAAGACAGAATTGTGAAGTATGTGACTTAGAAGAGTGCATTTCTTCAAAACTGTGTGTGTTCATGTGTGTGTGTGTGCATGTGTGGAAGCACATGTATGTGAAAGTGTACATGAAACCTAGAGGACAATGGAGGGTGTCATTCCTCAAGTAGCACCTACCTTTTGTTTGTTTGTTTTGAGATAGGTGTCTCACTGGCCAAGAGATTGCCAAGCAGGTCAGTGAGCCCCAGGGATCTGTCTGTCTCCACCTTCCCAGTGCCGGGATTACCAGTGTGGACCACCACGCCTAGCCTTTCTTTTCTCTTCTCTTCTCTTCTCTTCTCTTCTCTTCTCTTCTCTTCTCTTCTCTTCTCTTCTCTTCTCTTCTCTTCTCTTCTCTTCTCCTCTCCTCTCCTCTCCTCTCCTCTCCTCTCCTCTCCTCTCCTCTCCTCTCCTCTCCTCTCTTCTCTTCTCTCTCTCTCTCTTTTCTTCTTTTTAAAATGTGGGTCCTTGGGATTAAACTGAGGTCCTCGTGTTTATAAGGCCAGAACATTGCTGATGGAGCTATTTCCCTAGCCCCATTTGTTGAAAGTTTAGTGAGGAAGCTCTTCTGTATCTGGAGAGTAAGGTTTCCGTAGGAAAAGATAGCTATTCTTGCATACTAAGCGGTCAGACATTCGGAACAAGGTAAATTTAGCACAAGCGTTCAGGAAAGTTGTGGTCCACTTCTCGTCTAGCACGGCACATCTGTCAGGACACAGCCAGGCAGAAACAGGAAGGCACATGAGCATATTTTACATGGAAGCACTTCCAAGCAAACGGT